ACCCTCCACGTTTCCACGCGCGTCTCTGCAAATACGCGACTCGCAAACCCCGTCGTTACGACTATGCACCTCAAAACTTCGACTTCGCTTCGCTTCGATTTATGCTGCCATATGGAAACGTCTTGGAAATTTCAATCGACGCGATCTTGTTCTCGAATTGTCTGGTTTAACGGTTTTCTAATTATCAACCGCAGCCGATCTACAGAGCCACGCGAATCCAATTTTGTTCTTTCAGTACCGCCGGATATACTTAGCACCGGCACATCGGAGGGCGAGGTCTCCGTTCTAGAGGGTGAGAACGCCACCCTCTCGTGCAAGGCCTCCGGAAGACCGACACCTCGTGTGCTCTGGCGACGCGAGAAAAGTGGTTTCATACTTATGAGGGGTCTTCACGATCCGCTGATACCAGGTAAGATATTACATTTTTATCTCGACTCGAGCACCCTCGCCACCGTCGTTCCCGATGACAAATAACCTTCGATTCTCTTCTTCGTTTTATTAATTCTTCGCTGCCCGAAACGTCCGCCGTGCGCTTCTCGAATATCGCTCTTTAAATATTGGCCATTCTCTTTCTTTCCGTTCTTTCCAAAAAATTCCAAGCTTCGAAGAAATTCGAGAATACGACGAAATAACAAAAACGATCGGTTAAACCGTCATGACGGTAATTAAAATTTCGATCGCAGATTCGTCGTAGTTGCATCACTTTCGACGACTAATTATCCAAGGTGTCTACGCGACTCGATTCGCCGTCACGATCCGCTTAGCGGAACATGAAGACATCGTAAATTCGCAAACCTACGTGATGCCGATCGAAAGCAATTACGGTGGAACACGTCTCATCGAATGGAGATTAGTCTGTTCGGAACGACTTTCGATATATTTCCGTGTACGTGCCTGTGCTCGTCGATTCTCCGAGTATCGTAGAATTTGGCGGTTTCACGCCTCCCTCGCTGTCGACGGTCGCGGTGAATATACCGGATGCCAAATGGTTCGCGTCGGACGCATTTTTCGCTCGGACGCGCGGCAAATTCGTTGATCGGTCGAGAGATATTAATGGGAACAAATTCTCGAGCGGTGTTGATAAATCGATACGCGATATTTTGAGTACGATCGACGCGACGCCGCCTGCGACGAAAATATTCGTAGACCGAACGATAGGTGGATCACGCAAGCTGCATCTCGTTAGGAGACTGACGCGCTTTATCGGAATAGCGAAACGGCGCGTTTGCTCGATAATAATCTAATCCGGCGCGGTTCATTGATTTCGAAAGCGTTGAAAACGTATACGCGTAATTAAACGATAATACGATGTACGTATAATAACGTCGTAACCGATAAACGATTAGAAAGTTTCTCGGCCATTTTCCCGTAATTTGCCCAGGAATTTTACGATACGACTTTCGCGGTTCGGCCCTATCGATCATGAAATTCGCGACAGTAGTTGGCGAATAGTTGTCGACTATGTTTCAAGTTACCACGCCTTCGTTCGATACGAACATCATACGGCACGGGGTATAGGTCGCGTTTCACGATACCTCGTCATTCCTTAAATCTTTCGTCCCGCTGTTCGTTAACGAATAATCGTGTAAACGATTTTCGAACGCGAGATTTAGCGTTGTAGTAGGCGGTGGTCTGGTTGTTTTAACGCGAACGACGTATTTCGCGTGTAATTTGGTATGCGTGCGAACGTTGGCACGCGGCCAGCGATATGTATACGAGACCTTTCAACGAGATATTCATACGACGCGAGATTTTATAGTGGACAACCAGTCCGGTGAGAAGCTGGAATTAACCAGGGTAGACAGGAGGCAAATGGGAGCTTATCTTTGTATAGCCAAAAACGAAGTGCCCCCGGCAGTCAGCAAGAGAGTCTATCTAAGGGTAAACTGTGAGTATATACTTACAAATTCCGGCTAATCGATTATACTTTAGCGAGTATCGTTGGTCCGCGCTTCGGTAAACGGTTACACTCTGCTTCTTTCGATTTATTCGACCAACGACATAAACGATATTTCTTGTCGCCGGAAAATTCAACCACGTTTCGCCGAGCTAACCGTCTTTCTGGCCGCGCGATGTTTACGGCATTCGAAACTCGATAAAGCCAACGTGGTTATAGATTTCTGCACGACTCGATAATTCGTTTCTTTATTCGTTTGCATAGGTTGGCAAACTTGTTACGTATTAATCGACTTTTATCATCCGTTCGAATTTCAGTTCCACCTAGCGCCAAGGTTCCCAATCAATTACTGAGTTCGCCTTTGGACACGGACGTATCGTTGATCTGTTTGATCGAGGCATATCCAAAGACGATTAACTTGTGGACTAGAAAGGAGCAAGTTATTATGAGCGGGTATGTATGTACACACGTCGAGCTGTCGATCGTTCGTGTTTCTTTTTCATTAACGCGCGTCGCGTTATCCCTCGGAGCTCGTCTAGATATCGTACGATCGCAAAATGAAATCGATTGTACGCGCACGCCGGATGGTAAAGTTAAGCAACGTGTCAACAGTGGTAGATACGAGATCGACGAAAGGGGACATCCGGACGAGGAATGGAAGACAACGAGCGAGCTGAAGATAAGACGTTTAGAGAAAACGGATTTAGGAGAGTACACGTGTTCAGCGTCCTCAAGCATGGGGAAAGCCGAGGCTACCCTCAGGGTGTACGGTGAGTCGACATATGCTATCGAACGTGTCATTTTTCCACGCTCGCTAGATTTCGCCTTCCATTCCAGTTATATACGTGAACATTTTCTTTGACATCCGTCACTCGATGTTTCTCGTCCCAGCCAGTGTTTGCGTTCTTGCGTTCGCCTATACCAGTCACGGACAACACCGATTTCGTCGGCCACGATTTGTCTCTGTCGACCGTAAGATCGTTCACGCTGGCCGACGAGGTAGTTGAACCGGTGGCTGATTTTCCTCGTAAAAAATTGATACAAAGCTAGGTCTTACACGGTATTCTCTTAGATTAACGAAGTCGGATTCTTCCGCCTGTTTTCGCTATACGACTCAAGGGAATTGTTTTCAGAAATTGAACGAGCAACTCCACCCACCCGGACTACCTTGGCGAACTCGAACAAATCGAGCAATCGAGGGAAATCAAAGTTCGCTCAGGTCACGACGATAAATCGAATTTTTCATCAGATGAGCACACCGGCGATGCAGAAGAGTACCGCGAGAATCGTTTACAACAAGCACATGACGACCTCGACGACGGTGGATCCACGGGCGCCTTTCATCAAAGACAAGAACTTGTTTAAGAATCGCGACACCCCGAACGTGAGAAATTGTGCCAACGCGAAGAAACTCAGCGATACGCGGATTTACGCGGTCTGCTTGTTGTTTTTCCTGACCCTACGGTAAACGTTTGCAACGAACGTATACGCGGCGAAAGCTCTGTTAACGGATTGAGCGAGCGAAAACCTACTGCAAGTTGTTCGCTCGCGGTTCACGCGTGATGGCACGCAAGGGAAACGAACGAACGAATCGGAAATCTTGCGGCTAGACAAACACCGTGATCTGATCACGATATCTCTGAACAAACGATAGAGAGAAGAAATCGTGACTCCCAAGTATTAATCGAACGGAAGCAAGTTCTTATTGCGTTTGAAACGAGCACGAATTGCTAGTAAATAGACGATACAGCGAACAAATCGATCTCTCTCTTGTCGCGGACAAACACCGCGGTGAATACTGTTGCGAATTTTAAAAGATAAATGCTTACGAATGTATTTTTTATGACCCTTTTATCCGTTTTGGAATGCGGGGAAAAGAGTAAAGTCGTGAGCGAAGTGTGTTCTTTAGTTGAACTAAATGTAACATTGTCGAGTATTTTTTTAACAACGAACGAAGCAAAAGGAATACAAGGTTTCCCATTGGAATTATTATTTCCGATTTGTGGAGTTATTAGGAGTAACGATGTAATTTTTATAACGTTAGCGTCGAAAGCCTTACACAAGCAGGGTGTCTATCTCAAGTGGGCCACCAGTGTCATTCACGAGATCATCGTTCGACAAAATACGACTAAAAATTGATACTTTCAATCGATTACCCACACTTCGAAATTGTTTCAACAATGGCATTGGCGATCCAATTAAAATGAACATCCCTTATGATATCTTTACGCCGTAATAATTATTATCAACGATTAATTGTATCTCCACGTTCTGCGAGACTCGCGGTTTGTCGTGAATCACCGCTCCTTAATCAACTATTCGATTATACTCGAACACAGACAAATAATTAGCATACTAATTTGTACGTAAGGGGTAATAAGATAATATCTTTATTTATCGGTACGATAACAGAGTGAACTGAGATCGTAAGTGGCATCTTAACGAACGTTAAACACGTCATATCTAAGATTCATATCCGTAGGGCGTATAGTACCGTACTATATATTTTAGAAAGATACTAGACCTTACTTTTCTTATTTTACGTATTTTTTTAATTACCCGTAGGCAAGTAACGTACCTCATATGCCAACGATTAAACAAGACCACAATTATAAATATAACCGATGTGGTTAACTGCGAGGAATCAACTGACGCGATCATCGAATACATTTCTGAACGTTCTACGTTATCTATCGGATAACGATTATTCGTTGCATTATTTAGCGTCTCTTCGTCTTCTTTTCCTTTCTTTCCTTTTCTGCAAACGTGTATATAAACGAACAACGCAGTCTCTCTTTAGCGTAACGATCGTTTGCGATAATATCGAAGAAATATTTTTCTTTCAAGGAATCGACAATAATCGTTCCTAATAAGTTGTGTGTGCTTTGCATCATTTCTTTAATGTTCCTCGCAAAACCGCAAGTCATATGTTACTCTGTAATTACAATCTGTGTACGAAATGGTGCGACTAGAAAGGCTCGATGTTCTTTAGCACATAAAATTTTCAAACCGAGAGTGTCGGAGCTTTCTTCTGGTACTATTACTGTCATAAATGTCTTCTATTACAGAGTACAAATTTTAGTCACGATGCGTGGTTTATTGTCATTGAAATAGTAGCATATCCGCGAAATAAACAGAACGACACACGTGTTAAATATATCTATTTAACAAATATTGTATATCGTAAAACACTGCTCAATATAACGACTCTACAATAACTATAATAAAAGAATGTTGTTGTTTATAGAAAAAAAAAAGTATATTATGAAAATATGGTGAGAAAATGTGCTCAAATTGGATAATTATATAGCTTTGGAGAAACCAACATGTTGACAAATAAAACATACCGTGCAAGTAGCCAAAATATTAATTATTTCCTTTCATTTTAGGTTAAACTTAAGCTTATTTACATTAAAATCCATTACATCTGTAATTAGTATAAAATTATATGCAATTGATTGGAATATTTTTTGATAGTTTGTAATCCCTATGTAAATATTAAGACCAAAATAAGATATTGAAAGCCATAAAAAGGCAACCCACTGCCACGTATGGACTTTTTCTCTCACCAATCCTGGCACACTTCCAAAGAGTACCTTGAAAACTAATTATTACACGTTAGTATCAATGCATATATACATCATATTTTTTAAAGTCGACAAAATATACATACCCAACTTTTCCTAATCGACTGTCCAATAAACTGGGTACGATAGATCTTACGTAAGTACAGGTACATATCAATAGCAAAATAACTGTCAGCAAACTCTGGAAATTAAATAGGGCAGACTGCATGTCCAACCCCGTAAATAAACTTTAGAAAAAATCGATTTAGAGAACTCTGTATAAGTATCAAAGAGGTTATGACAAAAGTCACCGGTTGTTTATAGTCATGTATTCGACTATTCACAATATATACAATATTTTATATTTTACGAATCCACGATCTTACCATTACGATTTATGAACGGTGATAAATTGTTATATAAAATTGTTATACAAAGTCACTTTCCATACGAATGACATTTACTTTAACTACTGACTAAATGCAGACCAAAACTACGATCAAAACTACAACACAAAAATTTGCTATGATAAAAGGCGAATACGCAACAAACGAAAAAGATTCAAGAAGGAACTAGTAGCTGTTTGGTGAACAAATGTAAAAAAATCTGCCAAAATTTATTCTAAATTAAATTGTCTTCATGTTACGATTTACAGAAAAATTGACATTTATTACGAGAATAGTGTTATATTTAATATAATACGAACAATTCTTATTATCGAGACATTGGCTATCTATATCAGCGTATTGTCAATGGTATATTATTTATAAAAGTGCTTTTAAGAGATTCGTACCGTGTCCGATATATAAAGTTATCATCCAATTAGACGATAAACGGATAACTGTAAAAACATGTTGCCGGTATTTAAAAATATTTAAAAACTTCATACGGTAAAAAGTACTCGCTTCATATCTCTATATTCCGCGATCAACGCGTGCAGTAGTAAAATGGCTGCCGAGAAACGTCAATACATTTTATATCAATAACAGCTTACTTTTGTAAATAATCGTGGTAAGGAGGATCGCAATAAAACGGATGCCGTTCAATTAATATTATTAGTTTCTTTTTCATAATCGTGTGTATGAAGGAGTGCATGTGAACCGAAAATGGCAGAATTTGTGCGAGGAGGTCCAAGCGTGTCCAACAGTGCTAAGGTACTTACGGGTATTATTCATCATAGATTATTCATCCGTCATCGTATTATCGCTGAAAATACCAATAGTTAAATAAGAAGAAATAAATTGTAATTGTATGTTTGAAAATTTGTAATAGCTTGCAGAGTATTGCAAGTTTTCATAGATTAATGATTATTTTTTAAATTTTTCGACGGAAAGGTGCTTAAGGTATTATTTATAGACAATGTTTTCGATAAGTATCTGCACGTATTAAAGGAAGATATAAAAAGCCATAGATATGGGGGGAATTATAAGTAAATACTTGCATATGATATTTATGCCTTGTTGACAGAAATATATGCTATGTTTAGAGTAGTGTGATGTATAATGTGACACTGTAATAGAAACAAAGATATTGTCGTACTATTAAGTTATGATTATTATGAAAAATAATTATTAAATATTCTTATTATAGAATTGATAAAAGGAAAGAAATGCTTATAAGTTTTTTGCATGAAATATTTAATATTTATTTATATATAATTATGTTTTTAGATGGATCATAATAGCAAAGGTGGTTCTCCTAGCACTGGTAGCGAAGATGGTGGACAAAATGAATCAATGAATGCAGAAAATGAATTTGATCCTTTTCTTGAAAATATACCAGATGATATTCAAGACACTGAAGAGCCGGATAGTGCGAATGCAACGCTATTAACAGCTCCACCAGAGAATCAGTAAGATTTAATATCAATAAAAGATTTTAATTTCTAATGAAAACATTATTTTTTAAATTATGTTTAAGATACAAAGAATAGAAAGTTTAATACACGAATAATTTGCAGATGGTATCATGGTAGATTAGATAGATTTACTGCAGAAGAAAGACTGTGGGATGCAAGTAAAATGGGTAGTTATTTAGTACGTGAAAGCGATAGGAAGCCTGGAAGTTATGTATTGTCCTATCTGGGCAGAACTGGCATTAATCATTTTAGAATTACAGCTGTGTGTGGAGATTATTATATTGGTATGGTAAACATGTAATTGAAATGAATAATCATAATCGTAACTAATTTGTAAAATAATATGTATCTTGTTATAGGAGGCAGACAGTTCAATAGCTTGTCAGATCTTGTCGCATATTATACTCATTGCTCTGATCTTCTAAAGAGAGAAAGACTTATACATCCTACTCCACCTCCTGAACCAGTGAACGATAAAAAACGAATAGTCGCAATACTGCCATATACAAAAATGCCTGACACAGATGAGTTAAGCTTCCAGAAGGGTGACATATTTTTTGTGCATAATGATATGGGAGATGGTTGGTTATGGGTTACTGCGCATAGAACTGGTGAACAGGGCTTGATTTTTCGCGAATTAGTGGAGGATTTAGATGACTCCATTGATCCCAATACTGTATTTTCCTGGTTTCATCCTAATGTCACTAAAAGCGAAGCTGTTGACATGTTGGTGAAGGCAGGACCTGGTAGTTTCTTGGTAAGTTATATAGCTTCTTATAAATATTTAATGTTTAAAAATAATAATTCTTTATTTCACACTATTCAGGTCAGGCCTTCAGACAATAGCCCTGGTGATTATTCCCTTTTCTTTCATATAAACAATCAAATTCAAAGATTTAGAATTGAGAAGAAAGGTGTACGTTATCTTATGGGTGGTAGAACTTTTGAATGTCTTGATGCTGTTATAAACCGGTATGTCTGTTATAAATCTTTAGGATTTTGAAATTCTTAGATTATTACGAAAATGTTGTTTCTAGATATCGGAAAGAGCAAATAGTTGAGGGTCACACTTTAGTTCAAGCAATGGTGACTGAGCCTGATGGTAGTGTAAGAGTCAACAGAGAGGTGCAACACGCGGAAAAGATATATGCAACTCTCAGAGAATGTCGTGAACAATCTGGAGCAAAGAAAAATAAAGGGATAAAAATGCAAGGATATCTAGAAAAAAAATCAGAGAAGAATAAAAAGTGGAAAGCATTGTATTTTGTACTTTTAGTAGATGCAACTGATACTCATTTGTATTTATATGACAATCCAAAAAGAACCAAACCTAAAGGTCTTATCGACTTAAGCTGTGCTTATTTATACCAGGTAAATCGAGTTTTATAATTAAAATAAATTTCATTTTTCTACATTATCATGTCAGTTTTCAGACTGTCTTATCTTTGAAATATATATGTTCTATGTATGTAATTGTACTAACATTAACAGCAAATCACCTTAAAAATTATATATTATGTAAGAGTTATAATAACTAAATTGTTGTTAAAGTTCATTTCTGAGATGTAGTTTTTTTAGGTTCACGAAAGCGTCTTCGATAGACCTCATTGCTTTCAATTAGTCGAACGTGCTTTACCATGTTTGGCCACAATAACATATTTGGCTGCTCCAAATTCAGAGAATGCTTTAGACTGGATTAATGCCTTGAAACCATTATGTGTATCACAACTTACTCGTGCTCCAAAGGTTGCTCGTCTTCGTGAATTGCGTTCATTACATTTGCATATTTTAGACGCTCATAGACTTCCATATAAGCTAGTACCGAATCCATTCATCATAGTGGCTCTAAATAATGTAAAAGTCGCCCGCACAAAAGTTAAGACTGGGTTACATCCAATTTGGGATGAAGAATTCATTTTAGAGTATGTATATGATCTGCCATTTTAAATATTTATATGTTTGAATGACATTTACCATAAATTATTCTACAGGGATGTACCACCGGATGTTATGTCATTTTCTTTAACATTGTACAATAAAGGAAAACGAAGCAAAGATACGGAAGTTGCAGAATTGACAGTTGAATTGGCGAGCTTGACGAATGGGGAAGAAATGGACGAATGGTATCCGTTGTCAGGACTTACCCCGATCGGTGAATGGGGTGTACTTCGTCTACGAATAAGGTAGAAATATAATCAAAATATTTATCAACTGTTTTATGTATTACGTATGTTATGTATTATGTATAAAACGTACGTTTTATGTATTTGTTACTTTGCAGGTATCGACACGATTTAGCGATGCCCCCTGAGGAATATAGTCCATTACAACAGCTATTATTGGATCCAGAATTGCATGTTGTTAGGGCATTAGCAGATGTGTGTCACTTGGATAGAGTACCATTGGCAAATAGTTTACTTAGAATATTTAGGTATAAACAAAAATGTACAACGTATTAAATATTTCGCTTTCCATTTAATGGATAACATTATAATTTAAAATGTATGTCTTTAGGCATGAAAGAAAAGAAGCAGACCTCCTGAGATCGTTAAACCAAGCAGAAGTATGTTCACCTATATTTATACTTCATTGAAAAGGTGTCTTTCTTATTAAAGGTGTTTTATTTAGGTGGACAAAGAAGATGAAACGCCAACACTTTTTAGAGCTGCTAGCCTTACGACTACTTTAATGGATTTATATATGAAATCTGTGTGCACCTCCTTTTTGAAAGCCGCGCTACGTGACACCATCGTAAAATTGATCGAAAGTAAACAGAGCTGTGAATTAAATCCAACAAAAATGGATTCTCCTGAGGATGCTTGCAGTAATGCCGAATTTTTACTACAGGTATATATATGTATATATAAATATAGTTTAATATAATATTACAATATAAATATAAATTATTCCAAGTAATTATGAAATTTGCAATCAATATTATTTTAGGTTTTAGATGAAGTGACGTTAAGCATTTTTACAAGTCCTGATGCATGTCCAAGGACCTTGAGATATATTTGTGGATGTTTGCAAAGAGCAGTTGTTGCCAAATGGCCACATGAAAGACTAGTCAGAACGCGAGTAGTCAGTGGATTTATATTTTTACGTCTACTTTGCCCTGCCATATTGAATCCTAGGTCATTTAATTTAATAGCTGAACCACCACCTCCAGCTGCTGCAAGGTAGGGTAGGTCTATATTAAACGTAAGAAATTTTATAACTGAATAAATTGCTCTTTAATTCTCATTAAATAATTTTACAGATCACTTGTGATGGTTGCAAAATGTTTACAAAACCTGGCTAATTTGGTAGAATTTGGTGGAAAAGAACCATACATGGAGGTAGTTAATCCGTTTATTCTTAAAAACAAAGAGAGAATGGTTGTTTTCCTGGATCAGTTATCTGTAAGTATGCATTTAAATGTTGCATAATATATAAGTAAATATGAATTTAAAATAATTTGAGTTTATATTGTAGAATGTAACCGAAAAACCAGAATCTGAAGGTGCAGATCCAAGAAATAGGAGTTGCGTTTCAGATACAGCAAGAGATTTGGCAACCTTGCATCATATTTGTGTTTCTCATTTAAAAGAACTTCAAGTTTTATCGAAAACCCAGGTGTGTTTTATGATTTATATGTTTAGACGCTTTAGACGCTTACGATTATAAAAATATTCATTTGTAAA